TTCGTCAGATAAAATCCAATCATAACAATAAAATTTCGACCAAAACACGGAGGCAGGTTTTAAAGAAATTACGAGCATAAAAATGCAGTTTGCAATAGGAAAGAGGGTATCACCTACGAAAGCGGCTTTGCTCTCAATGAAGTCTCGAATTTTATCATCCTAAAGTTTCTACACAAAAAAAAGTTGACCTGCAATCTTGTAAGGTTTTAATTTATCATTTAGAAACAACTGGTACTGCTCTCCAAGACGAAATCGTTCAAGTAAGTCCTGATATATTTCAGAAAAGCTTATTGCAATAAATGAAAATTTATATATTATTTTCTTTCTTAGATCGCAGTCGAAGCATTCACAGATACGCGTTCTTTTAACGCTTATATTATTCCATTTAAACAATTTCAAAAACAGCATCACAGATCACAGGGCTTCGCGTTTTGCAAGGCGAACTGTAACTGTACGAAAATCGTGTAGAATCGGTATCCGCAAGAGTTGCTTGTCAACAATTTTGGAGTATTGTCGAAGTTTTGAATGCCCCCTTATTTTAGTTGCTCATAACGGTTTCACGATTTTCTATTATAAGTTCTTTATTCTTAATTATGTAATTGCCTATAATACTTGAATTTTTTACGTAGATTTGACAATCCAAGAATAACAAGGTTGATGCAACAATGCCAATTATACGATGAATAAAGTGGTATTGTAAAAGAATTTGCTGATTCTTTGAGAATTTTCCGCCAGATTCTTCCAGAAAGAAAAAAACAAAAAAGAAAATTCTCAGTCAATGGTTTATTACATGATTACCTTCCCGAAGAAAATTCGCCGTCGCTTCATAATGCGATAGATGATGTTCGAGTTCTAAAAAAATTAATTCATGAGATTATAAAGTCTGAGGCTGTAATAAAAAAATATGCAAAAAATATTTTGGAAATCAACGAAGAGGAGTTAAAAGCGACAAAAACTACGAATAAGGCTTCTTTGCAACAATATAAAGATAAATTATCCAGTAGAATAATAAATAAGATGGCCGAAGCTGGCATCACTCAGCACGTTATGCAGCTTGCTTTTGAAAATAATGGAAAAGAAGGACTACGCGTGTTATTCTCTGAAAATGTTAATGGCAAACCAAGAATAACCAAAGATAAAAATATTTAAAAAAAATTTACAGTCTATTTCCTAGCGATTAGTTTTATCTAATGTTCTTTAAATTTAAAAATCCGCATTATTGACATTTTTTATTTTATAAATATTGATATTATTAGTTTGGATTTTTGTTCAATATTGATATTATTAGTTTAGATTTCGTTCAATAATTATGAAATGTTTATTTTGTTGGAAATTAAAATTATATATTTTTTATAACATGTTTTTTGTTCAGTTCTCTGAATTAACAACTAAATAAAATATGTGAAATTTTTTAAATATAATATCCTTTTATCCCATAATAATAAAATTAATAATAATTTAATTACAATATTATGGCTAGAACTTTATATATTAATACTCTTTGTGACATGCAGTCTTTCGACCCGTTTGAATTTTGCGCGTCGAACAGCTGCTCGTTCGCAGAGCAGCTGCTTGTTCGCAGGATAGACATTTTACTTCCGTGACACGCACATGCATCATCACTTTCTCGATCAAATATTTCTTAAAAATCCATGGCGACACACAACTTTTCATATACCACTGGAAAGTGATTTCATCTTTCAGTGATCAGTTTTTTATTAACATCTCTAATTTTTCTTAAAAGATATCATATCATTTCCGATAAAAATTCAATAACCTCCCATAAGAGCTATGTTAAAAAATGATTTTTTATATTGCTTGTTTGCAATAATTTACATGGCAACAGGGTCTCAAATTTTAAGAGATGGTTTATTATATGTTAAACCCACACAGCACACTGTATCCTGAGAATATCCCAAATTGACCAAGATTTCCAAATACGATCCCACGGATATCACAGCAGGTGATCCCGGGATATTCCAATAAGATATCGTGAGATATCCTATTATGATCTCAGGATATCTAAATATTCTGCCATATCCGTTGGCTTTGCATAAAGATATCTTACGAGATCTTCTGAAGAATATCCTTTAGGATATCTTATGCTTTGCATAAGATATCTTAAAACTATAAAAAGATTAATTGCACGTCATTTATTATTATACAATCATATATTCTTGAATTAACTTCATAATTACATAATTAATTCTTGTTCGAGAGCACGCGGTTGCGCGAGATAGCGCGAGGTAACGAGACGACCACAAAAGCAAGGAACAAGTACCGATTGCAAAATAAACAAATATATTTAATAATGTCTAATATGTACAAGTATTTACAGTTCTTTCCCCTTTTTCAAGGAAGCCGTGGAGCGCGCACAGAAGCTACGGCTAGCGATGCGGCGACAACGTTCTAAACGCGGAACAGCGGTGTGCAAAGCGAAGTACGAAAGCGGGTTTTCTATGATCTGCGAGCGAAATCGTTTCCGCGGCGCGGCGACGGTCCTTTTAACACCTCCGAGGCGAAACTCCCTCCCTGCAGATTTCCCAGAATTTCGGGAGGGTGATTGGCCGTCGGAGTCCCGCGTCATGGAGCTGACGTCACCGGTTTCACGTGGCGACCCGACGCGCGACGGGGTCGTCACCTGTTTTCGAGTGCTTTGTGTATAGCATGGATCGTTCCTTTGTTCTAGCGTTGTTGTTTGACTTTATTATCGATAACAATGTTAAAGTTTCTAGAAAGCTAATCCCGAAAGATCCATGCTATACCGAATATTTCCGTGACAATTCTTACGCGACAATTTTACGCAAACATTAGTCACTTTCACTTTATAAAATATTAGGACGAAATTTACTGCAAGCATGCATGTGCTGACATGCAGCCGAACGCGACTTTGTCGCGATGCTAAGTTTGCGATCTCAAACAATTCTATAATTGAAAAATGTGAAACACTATTTTTTGGAAAGTATTGTATTATGTAATATATTATATTTAATCCATATTATAGTTACGAAAATCGTAAAAACATTTAAAATATAAAATGTCTTTACTTATTTTATATATCTTAATTCATTAATTTTTATAGACAGAGAGGGAGAGAGAGAGAAAAAGGGGGAGAGAGGAAAAGGAGGAAGTACAAAAAAAATATTATAATTCAAATTACAAAGATATATTTCTATTTGTTTAATACCATATAAAAAATAACGTTTTATCATACGGAACATTATAAAAGTTATTATTACACAATGTTGATACACATTTTAAAAAAGTTTCAACAATAAGTTTCAATACTTAACAAAATAAAAGTTGTTATCAAATTAATCACTGTCATTGTGTAATAATGGAAGGACAACATATTTGTCATCTCTATACGGAATTATAAAAAAATTTTTGGTTTAAACAATGGCCATATTGTGTTTTCTGATAACGCTAATTTTGAAACAACGTAAGTATCTAGCAAACTTGATTCGCAAGGAGTAGTAACAAATTTTGTTTTCTTAGAAATCGTTTTCCTATTATTATGTAATCATTCAGCTGTACATGCCATGCTATTTGCTGAACGATTACAATGCTACCATCTTCTAAACCGCAACAATTATTAGCATCTTCTTTAATTGATAATGTAAATTTACTGCATACTGCTTTACTGTATAAAGGATTTTTACATCCATCTGGTACGACGTCGTTGTAAGCAGAAGATTGTACAGGTACTAATTTATCTAAATTAGTTATATTATGCTTATCATTTTTATAACGTTTATAAATTTCATTGTAACGATTAAAAAGCTGTTGTAGTGGTGTCTCGCTTTTACGAATCAATGTTTTGATAAAGTGCATAAAATTTTCGAACCGAAATGCACTAAAATTTTCTATACTTCCGAAATGTCTAACATCCTCCGTAATATGTATAAGGCCATGAACATTATGTGATACTAAATAATTGTTATAAAGAAGACTAAACGACTCTACAAAATGTTCCAGAAAAAGCTGAGCATAATTTAAATGTTCATGAAGATCGCTGCACGATAAAATTCTAACTGCAACATGCAATTGTACAAAATGCTGATATAAATCTTCACGCAATACATATCGGAGAACTACCAATCCTGTGTAAAACAACAATTGGCGATATTCGGTCGCTTTCCATTGTTTTAAAAATATCAATGAACGTGGTTTGCGTTGAAACTCACTTGGGACATACAATTTTATCTTTAGTAGAACATCTGACATATGTTGAATTTGATTTGCGCTAAGTTGCCATTTTTTTTTCTTACCATCATTGTGCACCCACAAATACATTAATTTACGCATCACACCTAAACAGATCAAATGCATATAATCGAGAGAGATACATTTAATCAGATCAATGTCTAATAAAATTTCTAATTCACTCCTATCCAAATGATAATAAAAATCCGCGTGCAATCTAAATTCTTCATCAGTACTTTTCTGTGCATTTTTTTTCAAAAAATATACACGTCTATGGTCACTGAGACCCTTAACATGACATTTCGTACAACTGTTGTAACCTGTGTGCTCTTTCACATTCAGAACATATGATTTTGCTGGTGCATCCATGACAAAGTATTTGATAGAAAATGGAACTTTTATGCCATCTATTTCAATTCCGTTTTCATACAAAAATAATGCCTCATGTACAAAATTTCTCAAAAAAAGATTGCTACTTTTAGGTTTAAAATTTCCATGATAAGCTCCAATGATAAAGACAGATCCATTAGGAAGTACAGAACCTAAAATTGGCCAAAATGTACTAGATGATGATTTGCAAAGGGGAAGACCGTCAATACCTACAGCTATTTGTACACCTTGCAATTTACATTTTTGTCTTTTCAAATCATCATTTAATATTGTGTCCATTATACCATTAGCTATGCCGAAATGACAATATTTACCGGGTTCTATATCTATAGTATTACATTTTCGCGGAGTATGTAACAATGTTCTGGCATCTTTTGGAAGAGTAGAAAAGTACGGATATTTTTTTAAATGCGACAGAAGGTCTGTAACAGCAATATTCTTGATTAAATGTTTTACAGTCCAATTCCTTAAGAAATTCTCTACTTCTGACGTTGCCTCATCTTGATCGCTGTCTTCACTCTTTTCCAATGATGAATGTAATGTAGCCAAACATCTACGTTCATTTTCTTCATATCCACACATTCCATGATTTAACAATTCATTATCACTGTCAGATGGATTGTCAGTATGCAAATCATTGCAAAGTATAGGCAAATTGCTTGCAGTATCTTCTTCACATACCTGTAAAAATTTATTTACATTAATATTAATATGCTTTTGTACTGTTTTAGAAAGAACTGCTTGAATTGAGTATTGTGCTAAAAGAATACTTACTGTATCACTTGTAGCATTTGATGAGACAGAATTTAATGGGACATTATTGTTATTCTTAATACTTATACCTGTAAATTAAAACGTAAAGCAGGAATCATGCATTATTATCATATAGCGTTTTAAAACTAAAGAATATAGTTGCAAATTAACAATTCTAATTCAATAAAAACATTAGGTGCTTTCCAGTTAACGACACAAGTTGACGCAAGTGTCATTCTCTTTGTTGTTCATGCACTATATAATAAATGGAAAATTACTTACTCTCATAAGTAGCCCTGTTTTCAATCTTGTCTATTATCTTCATCACAGTATTGTGAACACGCCGACGAAATTGTCGACTTGAAATTTCAGACACATGTTTTAATTTTTTTTTATTCATTTTTGAATAAATGCTTCAATTTCCTGTAAAAATAAATGAGAGTTAATTTAAGGCTATGTTTGTATCTTTATACAACTATAGAAAAAACAAAAAGTACTGTTTACACATTTTGTATAACATAACATTTTCTGCTTATATTAGATTCAGATTAGATTAACAATAATCCATACTTGGAAAAAAGAAATTAAATATTCTATATGTATATTTTTTAATTTAGCTAATTGCGCATGATAAATACTCACTTTTTGCAAATAAAGAAATGACAATGCTGTGCACCAATTGTGCAACGGGTCTTGCCCGACCAGCTTAAACCAGTGCGTAAATTGGATTTCCTTTTCCCTTCAACGTTAATATACGGTGTAGTACTTATTATTTCACTGTGTGATGTAAAAGTTTCTGCAATTTATTAATATAAAAAATAAATATATTATATAAACGTAATAAGCGTACCAAGCGTAAGGCGTAAAACCCGAAGATTTATGTACACCGGTATATAATAGCACACAAACAAACGTATTAAGCATTAAAAAACCATACCTTGGATATATTCGATGTATATATCTTTTTATATCTATACAAGAGAGAGCTGTATGCACTAGACGGTATTAATACGTGAAGCAACGTGATGTATCAATGTTATACACCATCGACCCTTTGTGCAACAGATCTTGCCTGAACAGGTTAGGCCAGTGCGAAAGTTAGCTTTCGTTTCTTTTTCCTTTAACGCTAATATACGGTATTGCACTGTAGAAGTTAAATCATTACAGATAATTCAATAATATGTAGAAAATAAACGTATAAATATAATAAGCGTAGACCGAACGTAAGAGATACTCCGGAGATAACGTGTACCGAGGTACCGACCGTCATAATCAAAACGTAAGCAGTAAGGGTGGCGTCCCATGGCATTTTCCGCATAACCAATCAAAAGCTTAACAGAAAATGCGTAACGCTTCTGATTGGTTAGTCTGCGTTCGGAAACGTCACTCGAGTGCACACGAGTATACTTCAGTATACTCCCTTCTCTTTTTATCTCAGCGAGTAGTCGCGGTACGCGGGAAATACATCATTGGGGCACGTGGCACGTTATCTCCAGGTATCGCGTTTTACGTTCAGTCTACGCTTATTATATTTATACGTTTATTTTCTATATTATTGAATTGCCTGCAATGATTTAACTTCTACAGTGCAATACCGTATATTAGCGTTGAAGGGAAAAGGAACGAAAGCTAACTTGCGCATTGATCTAACCTGTTCAGGCAAGATCTGTTGCACGAAATTGCACGAAGGATCGATGGTGTATAACATTGATATACATCACGTTGCTTCACGTATTAATACCGTTTAGTGCATACAGGCTCTCTCTTGTGTAGATATAAGAAGATATACATCGAATATATCCAAGGTATGGTCTTTTAATGCTTACGTTTGTTACCAGATAACATTTCGTGCGATCTCATATAGCCCTCACGCGTGAGTATCAGGTGGTGCGTGCAAGAACGCTGTCACATCGCCCTCATTACGTGATAGTCGCACGCGTGCGAGCGAAATGATGGCATATGCAGTCCACGCGTGATGGGGCATATGTGCGAGCGTAAAAGTTGTATGATAGCATCATATATTATCATACAAAACAGTTATTACAACTTATCGGGAGGATTGACACTGCCTTCACACATGATCATCACGTCGTGCGCGCAAGATCGCCATCATATTGCCATTACGCGTGATGGGGGAACACGTGCGAGGCACTATGCCATCACGCGTGATGAGAGCTGCATATTTGAAAAGCACAAAAGTTTATTTTTATATATAATATATATATATATATATATATATATATATATATATATATGTATGTATAATAATTGTATAATAATATGTATATATAATTCTATATATAATAATCATTAATGATCATGAGTGAGGGCAGTGACAGTCCCGATGAGTTGTAATAACTCGAAATCATTCTCCTCGCACGGTTCATCATTCCTCCTTTTCTTTTCCCGTTAAAGAGAAAAAAAAAAGATGAACGGTGCAAGAACGTGCAGCTAAACAAGAACAGACCTGCAGTGTAAGAACGTGCAGCTAACAAGAACAGACCTGCAGTCTGTTTCGGCATTTCGCGCGGTTTTTGCAGCACGCTGATTTTTGTGCAAAAATAGTTTGAATCGTGCCTTTCGCAAACGTCTCACGATTACATGTAAGTATACATTTCATGCGTATATAATATTATATACGTATATAATTTCTAATATTTTCTATAGTTTTGTTTGTGTCATGCGTATATTAATTTTTCTAGGTTATGCTCGTGCTTGTACACATCTCTTAGTTATTATATCTTTTCATTATTACATTTCTTAACGTCTGATTATGTCTATCATGCATGTCACGTTTTTCTTTTCTTTTTTCATTTTTATTTTTTTTTTTCACTGTTCATTTTTTAATTTTTCTTGTTCCTTCTTTGCAGAAAGTTTTTTGCCCACTTGGTCGGTCTGTTACATGTACATGTTATTGGTATAGAAGGTAAAGAAATATTATTATATATTTCTATTTTTTAATAACTATTAATTTTTTTATTTTGTTCATGCCTGTGTCGAATATACACTCATTGATTTATGTTACATTATTCGCCAATGTAGAAAAAACATTATTTTAATTTCAATTCAATCCTTTATTCTCTCCCCTTCCGGGGTTGAAAAGGCGTTTTATTTTGGGCAAACGTTCCCAAACCCTTACATATTATTCATATAAACACATAATACACATTTCACATGGCGTTTTATAGGGACGTACCCAACCCTTTACATAAATCCTTTAACCCAACTTATTTTTCACCTAGCCTTTTTACGACCTTACATATCCTATTACCCATCCCAACCCTTCTAGGACCTTCCCTCTCTCTTCTTCTTTTGCTTCGCTTTGTCTTCGTCCGTGCTCATCAGCAGCTGGTCTTCCATCTTCTCTACGATCTCGTTCTCCGCCGATCTCCTGGTCCCCCCACTTTCCTCCTCTTTCCTTTCCTTTCTCTTTTCCCTCTTTTTTCCTTCTTTGATCCTATCTTCCACCGACTTATCTGCATCTATCTTTACCTTCATCCTACTTCCTTCCTTCCTTCTCGCTTCCAGTACTTTCCTGCTATCTTTTTCGCTTCCCATCTTTACGAGGAATGTTATCCAATTCCATCTATGTCCTATCTGGTTCACCTCCTTTACCTCTGCCCTCACCTTAAGCCCATCTGTAAAAAGTTGCTTCACCTTATTCAAATTCGAGCTACCTCCTCCCCATCTCTTCTTCTCGACCCTAATTATCACATTCTTCTTTCTTTTTTCATCGTCTTTCTCTTCTTCTTTTTCGTACCACCATTTTGTTTTACATACCTTACTATTTTCCTCCTCACTCTCGCTTCTCTTTCTTTTACCTGAGCATTGTTCGAGTCTGTATACCTTCCTTTTTAATTTCTCTATTTCCTCTTTCATTTCCCTTATCTCCTCCTTGTACTCTTTTATCACCTTCACCATTCGTTCTTCTGCTACCGTCTCTATCGCCTCTTTGTCGATTGCCATCGTTCCTTTGCAAATTAACTTTCGCTCCATCTTTATTCCTTCACCTCCTGCTTATCTGAAATCAAAAGACATTTATTTAATCTCTCTGCTTAGCTGTCATTGTACTCGCTTGCCTTCTTTTCCTTTTTAATTCCGCCATCCACTTCTCTCCTTCACCCTTGCTGTTTAGTATTCTTTTGATTCTTTCGCTAATTCCTTCTCTTTCTTCTTTTTCTTCGTCTCTTGTGCACCATTCTAAAACATGCTCCCATGATTCTGCCTCCGCGCCACATATCCTGCAGCTTGTTTTTTCTATTGTATCCCAGTATCTTCCGCTTCTCATCTCGTTACCTAATCTGAATCTCGCTATCCTAATCATAGATTGTTTTTTTCCTTTTCTTTCCAGGTATTCAGGCCTCCTGTTTTTTACTACCTCCTTGTACCATTTGTTGTATCTTGATTCTCTTATCCTTTCGTCCTTCTCTTGAATCTGAATGTCCCTGTCTCTTTCCGTTAATTCCTCAATGCTACTCCATCCCTCCCCTCTTTTTCTCTCTATTTCCTTAACTGCATAATCTCTTTTCTCGTAAAAGCTTTTTCTTTCTTCTTCCCATTTTGACTTTTCTTTCCTATCCTTTTCTCTTATTTCCCTCCAGCACTCTCTTGCAATCTCGTTTCCTTCTCCTCTCTCCAATTTTTCTTTATACTTCATCGCCCTTTTACCAGCGCTTATTCTTGCTTTATCTCTTTTAGTTTCCTCTCTTATCATATATCCGGGCGTATTCCAGTCCAGGCCTAACGTCCACCTTATATACCTTTCGTGCATTCTTTCTATTTTCTCTCTTTCTTTCCATCCCCATACTTCTGCTCCATATAAGGCTATGCTTGCAACCAGCAAATTATATAACTTGATCCTTCTTATCCAGTCTCCTCCAAATAACCTTTTTCCTATTCCCCATACCTGTCTCATTGCTATGGTCGCTTTTCTTACTCTCTCATTTATATGCGCATCTTGTTCTCCGTTCTTTTGGAATGTGTAGCCTAGATAGCAGAATTCCTTCACCTCTTCTATTTCTTCTTCCTTCCAACTCCACTTTACTTTCTTCATTTTACCTCCTCCCTTCCTAAATCTCATTACTTTTGTTTTCCTTACATTAACTCTTAACTTTTTTTTGTCAAAGTATCTTTCTAGTCTTTTCAGCATTCTCTTCATTTCCTCTTCATCCTCTGCTACAGCAACTATGTCATCCGCGTACGCTAACGTCCAGAATTTTATTTTTCCTACAACTATCCCTCCATCTTGTCCTTTCTTCATTGTCTCTTCCATGTCTGCCAGCAGAAGTATGAAGAGCATAGCGCTCAGCGGGCATCCTTGCCTAACTCCTTTGACCGTCCAGAAGCACTTTTCTTTTTCCCCTTTTACCCTTACCACACATCTTGTCTCCTCATACAGGTCTTCTATCCTCGTCCTCAATTGCTCACTGATTCCTTCTTTCTTCAGGACTTCCCATATTTTTTCTCTGTCCATTGAATCGAATGCGGCTTTTAGGTCTATAAATGCTCTTACTAGTTTCCCTTTTCTCTTGCTTATAGCTTTCCCAATCACATAGTTCAGCGCGTATATATTCTCCATTGTTCCTTTCTTTTTTCTGAATCCTGTCTGTGTTTCTGGTAGTATCCCCTTCTCTTCTACCTCTCTCTCTAGCCTCTTAGCCAAAATTGCTGCATATATTTTGTAACTTGTATTCATTAGTGTCACCCCTCTGTAGTCCTGCGCTTCCTTTCCTTCTCCCTTTTTTACTATTGGCACTATTATTCCTTCTTTCCAATCTTCTGCTATCTCCCCCGTTCTCCATGCTTTATCACATACCTCCCATATTTTTTCTCTCAGTCTCTCGCCTCCATAGATCCATACCTCGTTTGCTAGTCCATCCGTGCCTGCAGCTTTCTTTTCTTTCATTTCTTTGATTACTTCTTCCACTTCTTCTTTTCTTATTCCTCCCTGCTTTTCTTTATTCCCTATTCTTTCCTCTCTCCTCCTATCCTTTTCACGCGGCTTCGTCATAACTCCATCCAGTAGTTCGGTGAAGTGTTTATTCCACTGCTCCTCCGTTATCTCTTCGCATACCTCTTTCTTGCTTTTCCTTTGTCTGTTTATAAATTTCCATACTTCCGTTTTATTATTTGCTTCTCTCGCTTCCTTCATTACTCTCTCCTTTTCTGATTCCTTCTTTTCTTTTATTTTCTCCTCATATTCCTTTTTCTTTGCTATGTACTTCTTTTTGTCTGTCTCTCCTCTTTTCCACCTCGCTAGATTCTCATGTGCTTCCTCCCTTAGTTTTGCACATTCTTTATCCCACCATCCGTTTTTTCTCTTTGCTCTCCTGTTTTCTCTTATTTCTTTCCACTCTGCGGCTCGCTTTGTCGCTTTCTTTATTTCCTCCAGTATTTCCTCTATGCTCGTACCTTCTATCTTCTCTTCTTTCATTCTCTCTTTGTACCTTTCTTTTCCTTCCCTCGATTCATTATTTTTCTCACTCTTCTCTCCTCTTCTCCTCTTTCACTTGTTCCTTTTATCTTTATTGTTACGGGTTGGTGATCCGAGTCTACCGTCTCTCCAATCTTTACTTCCACTGTTTTTTCCCATACCTCCTGGTTTCCGATTATATAGTCAATTACCGACTCTCCCCTTCCTCCTGTAAATGTGAACTCTCCATCGGTGTCTCCTTTTGTTCCGTTCAATATTCCTAATCCTCCTTCCTCAATAAACCCCAGCAGTTTCCTTCCTTCCGTGTTAATTTCTTTATCCTTCGATTTTCTCTTTTTCCCCATTATCTCTGTTAGGCCACCTTCTTCCCCAGTTCTTGCGTTAAAGTCACCTCCTATTATTATTTGCTCCCCTAATCCTCCCTTGTTTGTGAATTCCTTTATATACCTTATTTTCTTCTCAATATCGTTGTTCACATATACCGCTATAATCTTCCATGTTCCCTCCTTCGTCTTTGCTATTCTTTCTACAATTCCTTCCTCTTCTCTCTCTTCTGTTCCACCTGCCACTATTTCCTTCCTAACACTAGTTATTATTCCTCCTCTTGCTCTTCCTTTCTTTTTTTCTTTTGTCGCAGGTTGGCATTTCCATACGTACTTATCTGATAACATTCCTTTGATTTTGCGCCAATCTTTTTGCTCTACCCACGTTTCTAGCATCGCTATTATATCCCAGCTTTCCATTTCTTTCCAGAATTCTTCGTTTTTTCTCTTTAGTCCAGCTATGTTCCAGAAGCCTATGCTTAATGTACTCTCTTTTTCTTCATATTTCCTGTTCTTTTCCTTGTTCCCTCTCCATATTCCCTCTCCTCTCCCTCTGCTTCTTATGTCTCTTCCCTCGTTTTCTCTCTTCTTTCTTTTACTACTTTCGAAACCCACTCTCTTCCTCCAATTTCCCCTTACTTTCGTTCCATTTCATCTCTTTATTATTTACCCACATCTTCTGGTATCCAATCGTGGTTTTCTTTCCTGCCTCTCTTTCTTCTTTTGCTACTCTTCTTATTTCTTTTTGTATCTGCCCTTCCAATCTAGTTAGATCGTCGTCCAGATAGCATTCATATTTTTTACCCAGTTTCTTTCTTTTTGTCATTATTTCTCTTTTGTTCTCCCAGCTCTTACATTTCATCACTGTCATTTTATTTCTTCCTTTTCCTATTTCATGTACTTGTTCGATGGCTATTTTCATCTCTTTTATTTCGCTTATCATCTTCTCTACTTTCTCTTTCTTTCCTGCTTCGCTTCCTATCGCTGTTCCTTTCACAACTATGTTATTTCTCCTCCTTCTTCTCTCCGCCATTTTCATATTTCTTTCCATCTCTTTCATTTTTTCCATTAAGTATCTTCCTTCGCTCTTGTCTTCTATGTTCAATTCTGTTTTTTCTATTTTCTCCTCTACCTTTTTTATTCTTTCCTCCAACGACTTTTTTTGCTGTTCCCAAATTTCCTCTCTCTTTTTAAATTCTTCTTTCAGCTCTCTTATTTCCTTTTTTATTTCTTCTTTATCTTTTCTTCTTTCTACTTCCTGTTCCTCTAGTTTCCTTAGAATTTCCTTAATCCCCTCTGCTGCCATGTTTTCTTCCTCTTCCTCTCCTTTCTTTATTTTATTTGGTGGTGATCTGCCAGCCTTCCTTGCTTCGCTAAATTTCTCCAATATTTCTTTCTCTGCTTTGGCTATTTCTTCCTCTGCTCCTTCTCTTTTCCTCTTCTGTATGTAATCTTTGATTGACCCTGTTCCTAAGCTGTCTGCTCTTCCTCTCAGTTTGGCCAGTCCTTCCGCTTTTGTTGGTCTTCCCTTCGTTTTCTTTCCTTCCTCTTCTCCTTTCTTTTCCTTGTCACCTCTTTGTCTACTTTCTACTATTCCTTCCTTCTCTGCCTCCATTCGCCACCTTTACTTACTGTATATTCGCCGTGGCTCCCTCTACGTTTACTCTTTTCGCCTTTTTCAATTATCTCTATCCGCTCCTTCCCTGTCGGTAATTTACCTCCTTCCTTCTCCAACAGGTGGCGCCCTGTCCACCTCTTCCGCTTACGTGCCTTCTCCTGCTGCCCTAACCTTCTCACCTGTTGACTTTTTAAGATCTATTAATTAATACCTTCCTGATTCCTACTTTGACTCACCGTATCTCTGCTTATTGCCCTGCTTCCGCTCTTTCCTATTTCCTACTACTCTCCTTTTTCTCTCTACTATACCGCTCCTTCTAGCTCTCTAAATTCCACCTGATTCTCCACGTCTACTCTCCTCAACTGATCAAACGCCTCTCCCATTATTTTAACTCGAATATAATATAATAATTAATTGCATGCATTACTTAACGCTGTATTTCAATTCATGAAAGTTTTCATAATGTTTTTTTATTCATGGTTCTATTACTTGTACATGAAATAAATAATCGTTGCTTCGTAAACCCGACTAACTTTTATTGATATCTTTTATTCTCCATATTAATATTAATTTCAACTTTTATATAATGTTTTATAGTTTTAATATTAATAATAATTTGTATTAATTAATTGCATGACCTGTCAATAAAAGGAAGTTTTCATTTCAACTTTAATTGACATATATATAGTGAGACGTACACAAGAAAATAATTGGTGTCGTATTGAAGACGAAACTGATTCGACATTAGAGTACATCAGTGAGTTTTGAAATTCCTTTGACTGCATTTCGTTAATTATAAAATTGATTTACACTGATGACAGATTCGTGATAATAATAGATTGCAATTAACTCGAAGTATCGTTAAAAAAAAATTTTATTTACATAAATATGTATGTAAACATACACGTAAAATACTTCGATTGACCGTGTAATCTGTGCTATTAATAAAATTGCATTTTCTGTATGTGAGCATGTAATGCATTTCACGCCAAGTGGTCCACTTTCATTTACACAATGTTTAATTGTAATTTCCTACTTTGTATGCTTGGGGTATGTAAACGTACAATTTTCGATCACATGAAATATTCAAATGTACCGTTTCCAATTAATATTATTTTGACAAAAAAGTATAATCATGCAGTCATGTACATAGATTGAAACGTTGGCAATATTTTTGTAAACGTACTTTTGAATGTTGGCAAACATTTCTTGAAAAAAAAAAAACAGTCTTTTCCTCTGCAAAATGTATAAGGACATACTGTAATACGAAATGTTTAAAATCTTTTTCATAATTATAATACAAGATTTTTATTCATACTGTAATACAAGACGTTTAAAGTCTTTTTGAGAAATTTTACAATACATATAAATACATTTCTTACATACTAAAAGCTACTAATACAAGACGTTTAGAGTCTTTTTCATAAATTTTACAATACATATAAATACATATAAATCTACATTCTTTACACACAGAAAACTACTAAAACTTAAATGTAACTGGTTCCTATGCATGCGGTGGTGATCCTGACTGAACAGAATCTTACACAGTTACAACTATCACTGCCCAACCACACGCTTATGTACGTTGTTTGTACTGCACTATTCAATTTATTACAAAAGTTGTAATTATCAAATCTTTATAATTATTTGCCTGGCCTTCTTTATGGTAGCAAACAAAACTGAACGAGGCATGTCAACGAAATATAAGCAATTTCTCAATCTCAGTGAGAGACACAAGAGAAGACGGTTAGCTGCAAGACAAGATGATCCAAACGTCTGTCAATCCATAAATAACGAATCAGACGATACATTGTCTGAAAATGAACCAATGCAAATTTCGGCATCGCATTCTGCTCCATCTGTATCTGATAACGCTCTCTATAATAATGAGGAATCGACTACTGACGTTCACGAAGATACTTTTAATGGAGATGAAGAAGCAGATGATAATGAAGGCATAGCAGAAGAAGAGGTACAAGAACAAGAAGTAAATACTGACGGAGGCGACGATGATGAAGAAAACGAAGAAAGTGATGCGGACAATACAGATGCTCACAGTAATGACAATATTTCAAACTTTGAAAATGACAATGCCCCACAAAACTTGAACGACCTAAAATTAAAAGCATTAAAACAATTATTCTTACTTGCTAATTTAAAGCATAAGCAGGGCAACATGCTGCTGAAGACATTGCATGAGTTCCCGTTTAATCTCACGTTTTTGCCGAAGGACACGAGGACATTACTTGAAACGCCTACTGATGTGGCCTCGAGACACGTCCAATACATCGATGGAGGAGAATACCTTCACTTGGGTCTCCAATATACCCTTATAAAAAAACTGAAAACTCTTCCTGAAGATATCTTGCCCGAAACGATACAAATCGATTTTAGCACAGACGGCGCTCAAATTTACAAAAGCGGCACGACTCAATTTTGGCCTCTTCAATACAGAATTTATAATTGTATTGATAAAAAACCAATTATAGCGGGTGTCTTTAAGAGAACAGAAAAGCCATCAAATCCTTTTCAATTTTTTGAACACTTTGTTCAAGAACTGGAGGAAATTCGTGAAGAAGGTGGTGTCCTTATAAACGATCGACGGTATTCAATTCAAATTCGATGCTTCATTGCAAATGCACCAGCAAGGGCATTTGCGTTGAACCACTATGGGCATGTATCGTCAAACGCATGTTCTAAATGCAAAATTGAAAAGCGTCGTTCTGCAGCGATGCCATTCTTTCGGGGAACGATGATTTTTCCCGGGACTCGTCACCCGCTACGAACGGATCAAGAGTATAGTGAACTAATGGATGAAGATCACCACAAAGGGCCAAGTCCCTTAAATCGTGTGTTGGGACTAGTGACGCAAGTTCCTTTTGAACCCTTGCACCTTCTATACGTTGGGAATGTAAAGAAAGTGTTGACCACTCACATCCATGGAAAATATGGACACCAAAAATTAACTAAAAGAAAGTTAGATATTTTGGATTCAAGAATGATGGAATGTCGAATCTACTGCCCTACGGAATTTAATCGTCGTCCGAATAAAATCTCCATGTTTCATCACTTCAAAGGCACAGAATTTAGGCAACTATTGCTGTATACAACTCCAGTTGTGCTAGAAAATGTTTTTGACGAAGATCATTACAAACATTTTCTTCTCTTACATTGTGTAATGCGCCTCCTTAGTTTGGAAAATGTCTCGGACGAAATGTACGTATACTGCCAAGCAGCATTAGAGAGCTACGTCAACATGTGCGAGGAATTGTATGAAGAGCAGTTTCTCTTGTACAATGTCCATGGTCTTTTGCACGTAGTCGGTGATGTTAGGCGATTGGGCCCATTAGATTCATACAGTGCATTTTGTTATGAGAACAATATGCCTGAATTCAGGAAATTTATACGAAAGCCGCACTTGGCTCTACAACAGTTTTACAAAAGAATGTGTGAATTAAACGACCTTGTAACTCCCGTCGATAAAGGAATCCACATTCGTTGTTCGAAAATTTACATGGATGGACCTCTCGTAGAGCCTGCCCGTCATTACCGGCAATATCGAAAAATGCAACTTGGAAATATAACGTTCTCTACCGCTCTTCGTGACAGTTGTTGCATCACAAATAATGGAGAAATCTGCGTCATAGAGAACATAGCGCACATGGAAGGGAACACGCTGTTTATCGTTAAAAAATTTCGAACACAGGTTCATCTATACAATGTTGGTGTCACATCTGATGTGGCAGGAGTATACCACTGTTCAAACTTATCACTTACATTTGAAGCAATCAATTTGAGAGATGTCAAAAGCAAGATGTACAGGATGCCGAAGTGGAGCGGTAGAGAAGGTCAAGAAGAGCGCACTATTGGAAGTGAATGGATCTGTGTGTCGCTAATTACACCCCTAATACAACCCGACTATTAAATAATTCGTAAACGAATTATACTCGATACTAGACAAATATTCAAAAATAACAAATTGTAATAATAGTAATAATAAAATTGTACACGTACTATTTCTGCCAATAATTTTCAAAGATGTACAACAAGTATACATTAAAGTGAAATTCCGTACAGTACGCAATTAAAAAGTAATGTAGTTTAATATGCAAAAACTTTTATACATATATCATGGTATAATGTCAATGAAAAATATCAACAGTTTATATGCCAGTAAATTTATTTCAAATTATTATACAAGCAATGTAACTTACATTCCAACGTACATTTTCTTATTCATTAAAGCAAATAAATATGAACGCTGGCAGAAAAGGAATGAAAAGTAAATATTGTAAAATATCGAGTAGTGGACGAGTAGTCAAAACACCGAAGAATGTTATGACTACATCCTCGGACGAAGAGCTTACTAAGCGTATGAAAAAAAAGAGCAGCAAGCAGTACTCTGTGCAAGTGGAGTTGAACAAACTTGAAGGACTAGTAGAATATATGCAAAAAAATGACGCCTTTCCGAAAACCGATACAACTAATGCAAATAAATCGAATGATACGATTCAAAATTCAACTATGAAAGATTTGTAAGTAAATTTTAATAGTAATTACACGATTGTTTTCATTCAACAAAATAATTTGGACTGTATAAAAATCATTGCATGAATGTATAAAACCAATCTGACAATTGTACTTTGAAAACCACAATGTAATATAAATTTGAAACAAAATAATTTGCGATCACAATACACAATATTGTTTATGATTTTCATATTTCTTCCAGACAAGAAAAAAATCTAAATCGTGAAGTACACGTTCCCCAACCGAATAAGCATGCAAATGATGATACTCCGCCCGTTGATGGGTTTGTGAAGAAAACATCGGTACATGCTGAACATAATCGCGCGCTTGACGCATTAAACATGCAAGAGACTTGCAAATGCAAGACAAATAACCAAGACATTCATGACAAATTAACGTGAGTATAATGTATTCTAATAATGTAGAATTTCATAATTGCCTATACAGCACAGAACCTTGCAGACATATTGCTGCAACGTTGCAAGATCTGTGCTGTATGGGTGTAGATCAGGCCTGTTGACACGGATGCCCGCGGAGCTGGCTGTGAGGGGAACATGTGTCTTGTTTTTGTCGTAATCGCAGTATAATTTGTATTTAAAATTAATTTACTAAACACGGCACGGCATTTCCTGTTGGGCGTCCATTTTAACAGACCTGTTGCAAACTTCTGATAAACAGCAATTTAAAATTACAATCTTAAATTCTATGTATAGAATTGAAAAAAAATAGAATGCATGCCGTACTAATGTTCAATGGGGTGAAAAGAAATTGATGTGTAAATACATAATGTAATTGTGTATATAAGCATTGAAAATCTAAGACAAAAGACCGTTCGAGGTAAAAAACTGAAGAAAATGAAAAATTCTTTACTTTTTAATTTTATTACGGCAACTATACATATTTGCATAACTTTAGATCAATACATTCGCAGGGATCTTCAAGACAAAGTTAATTCTTTAATCGAGAGCCAGAATGCCTTAAAAGAGATCATGGAAAAGATTGTGGAAAATGATAACGTTCATGTCGATGGCGTTAATTTAAGAAATACGTTTTACGAGGGGTTAGAGGGCTTCCCAATGAGTACCGTTGAGGAATTTAAGGAGCTAGAAAGCGATGCCAAGAAGAATGATCGAAGGAAGCTGGTGAGTGTTTTTCCGCATCCATTACACTGTGTAACACAGGTTCCCTAAAGAAATTCAAAGAGATTCTGAAAATAAATATTAAAAAAACATACCTGTATCTCAGCATTTTACCAGATCAAATCGTTAACGTTTTTTATGCAGCCATTAATCGTATTAGTCTCATACTGGCTTTTTAAAAAATTGTTATAAATTATACATTAATTTTTTTATTTAAGTTATTGAATCATCTCATTCTGTGCATAAAAGTATTAAGGTACAATTGCCAAAACTGAATAGTTTACAAAATATTTTATACTTTATGTCGAAATATACCAGAATAGAAATGTACATATCTAAACCATTGATTTTTTGACAATTCTACCTTAATAATTTTATATGCAGAATAATCAGGGAAATCATATTATGTAAAAAAAGTCGATTCCATTAAAAAAATATCGATGTGACCTTCACCTGACTTTTGTGACGACACCCAAGATCAAACTGATAAGATCATTAAATAGATCTTTTTAAACTCTACAACTTTTGTATGAAACATTTCTTTCGAAAAGGCTAAGTAGAATATTAATTACCTGCATAGTACTGCAGTGTAATGATACTTTATTTTATTTCAGTACAATTACTTGCGAGGGTTAGGAGGATGCAAATTACGAGAATTTCTCTATAATGCTATAAAAACGATTATGACTGACAGTTTGGTCTCGAAATTCACGTGGCCCGTTAGTAATGTTTCGGAGAAATTTGGGGACACAAAAACTATGAATATTATATATTGTAAGTATATACTTTTCTTTATGTACAATTCCCTTAAGAAAATATACACTCAATTAAACATTGAAACTATTGAAAGTGATACATATAAAATAATTTATTTTCTTCTTTCAGTGGCAGCACAGAAATGCACTTTGTTTAATGGTCCGCAGGATAAGGCTTCCTGCAAAGTTGAAGTCCAGGAAGTCTTACGGCCATAAAACAAAGATATCGCACAAATTTAAAAAAAAATCGACTGCCTCTTCATCAAGAGCAGCAGCTAAACGACAAAGTGGATGAATCTGATTTATCGAACAATCAGAGCGAATATAAAACTGAATGAATATGAGCGAATATGAATAAGCTGTGAAATAATATAGCTTTGTTTTCTATTTTCACTTAAATAGTTTTACATATGGATTATATATAAATATTTATATATATATATATATATAACAAAAAAAGTTTTATATATAATATTTTATATATAATATATATAACGAAAAAAGTAATGTCACAAGTTTTTTATGAAATAAAATCTTTGAAATTTGAATTATTTTTATAATGATATTAGTAGTATGTATGCAGTATTATCTGCATTTTCTCTGCAATTTTGTCTTCAGTTTTTCTCCAATTTGTTTACAAATAGAGTTTACAGATTTCTCTGCTAATACTTTACATTTTCTCCGCAAATCACTTTTTCAGAGAAATAGGAGCGAAATAGCAGAGAAAGAGCATCGGCAAGCCCCCTGCAAAAAATGCCCGTTTTCGGTACCTTGATTTTTGAAACTTTTTTTTATGCCAAATGGTTACTTATGATGACCCAATAATCCCTGCAAAATTTTAAGAGGAGCATACGCCCCGTTTAAGAAATATAGGGGGTCAAAGTTGATCATTTCCAATCAAAAAATATAGCAGCTTCACATTTATACTCCAATAATAATGTCCAAAAAATTCAGCCGAAATGGTTCTTTTAAGATTTTTGGCTGCTGATTACAAATCTGAAGTCAGATTTTAAAAATTCAAAATGGCGGATTCAATATGGCGGACGAATTTTTCCTAAATTCATCGGATTCACTTGAAACTCGTTACTCGGGGGTTTTTGGGGTCGCTGATTACGAAATTGAAGTCAGTTTAGAGAAATTCAAAATGGCGAATCCAATATGGCGGACTGATTTTTTCAAAATTCATCGGATTTACTTGAAACTCGTTACTCGGGGGTTTTTGGGGTCGCTGATCACGAATCTAACGGTGAACTAACTTTTAACCAACACTAAATCTTCTTTGTCACTACATTAAATCTACATAGAACCTATTTTGTCCTACAATGGACCTATTTTTCCTTACATTGGACCTATATTCTACCTAGGAGCGGTGAGCATCGAGCGGACTGAGTCTCGTTTTAAACAGTTCGGCCTAGAGTTACGAAACCCTGAAAACAAAAGACGATCAGCAGATCATCATTTCATTAACATTCCATTGTGTTGAGGTGGCCGCCCTGGACGGTCTGCACGATAGCAGCGCTCGGAACGACAGCGCTCGAGACGGCAACGCATACGCCATCTAATTTCATTAGATCCGGTTCCGTTCTATTCGCCCTCAGAAAGAGAGAGAGAGACGTTCCACGTGCACGCGTGCCTTGTTACGATCCGCTATTACATTTTTTATATCAGTCCATTGCATCAGTCTTGTGCATGACGTATCGTATCAGCCTATTACTGTATCTGTTGAATAAGAATACATCAAATACATTCGTTCGTAACCAAGGTGGTGACCACCAGCTCGTTGGGGTCGTCCCAGTGCACGTAGTCGATCTTATTGTCGGTTAGCGTCATCGCGCGAGGCGCGAATAACCCCTTTCCTGATTTTTTCTTCTTGGATTCGGTCGACATCAACGGTGCGATTACCTGTGTATACTTGTATCCCACGTTGCCCTTTCGTCGCTCGTGAGGATCGTGCTTGTATTTATGAGCACTCGTTGCCAACAGTATGCTCTTGTACTTTTGCATATTGTCTTCCGTGTAGATATCGTAATCGGGTACTCTCTTGAAAATCAACTCGTAAATACCGGGTGTACCGGCGTATCGTACACCGTCGATATAAATGTTATCCGCTTTATCCACGTCAAAACGTTTATTACCAAGCATCAATTCATTCTTGCCGAGATAAACGCCGTACGCTATGTCCATCGTTGGATAGGCGCTCAAAACCTCTGCGATGTAAATTCGGCTCAGGGGACCCAAGTGATCTTGCAACGATTCTATAAACCATTCTCGACCCTTCGACGTTTGCAACCGCTTTTTAACGGTCGTCCC